CCGTTTACACGATAACTTTCGAAAGGAGAGTCCAATCGCGATGAAATTTTCTACACAGTTCAGTCTTAACAATGTCTCGGTCGAGTTCGAAGATGAGCAGGATCCGTCAAGAAATGGCTGAGTTATAGAAAAAATTGTGATTTTTGACCAGACCATCCCTGAAGGGGGGTACAGGGATTTTTTCAAAAAAAAATTTTTTTTTCAGAATTATTCACAACATATATAAATCGACTCAGTTTTTAACGCTGATTCCGAATCTGATATTAGTTTTGAACCGAATCATAGTTTAGTGTACTCAAAAAGTTCATAGACTATAGAATAGTCAGTGTGTCCGTCCGTCCGATTGGCTGTTTGCATAATAAATTTTGACAGCAAAGTCAGATTGTGATGAAACTTTCTACACAGCTTAGTCTTGACAATAGCTCGGTCGAGTTCGAAGATGACAAAAAACCGATCGAGCCGTTCCTGAGTTATTGCAAAAATACCCATTTTTCTCTATAGCTTTCTGTGGAAAAATGGACCCATCGCGACTTTCGTAAAAGACTTTTCCTATCATAGTCAATTGAAACCCCAACTACTATATGCCATTCGATAGAAAATTTCAAGTACTACAAAATGATATATAAAACAAAAAGAACCAAGAACGTTGACTAATCTATCACAAAGATAATTAAACATAACTAGGTTATATTTTGGTCCACAATCTAATTGATCCACAAATAGAGCTTTATCTTCCGATTACGCTGATGATACTTCGAGGTTTTCAGGTATGGAAAACTCGAATGTGTACTGCACTTCCATCGGAATACAATTAGTTGTGCAATGACCAATAGAAATGAAGTTATAGGAAAAACGACTTTCTTAGAGTAAATCAAGGTGTAGAGTTCTACAATATGATTGAAATCCGTGAAGTATTGCATTTGATAGACGAGAATATAAATTTAAATATTGATTATCATCCCAATATGCTTTGCTAATATCGAGTTGAAAAGAAGTTAAATGACACCGATCAGACAATATCTGACATAACAATTCTTGAAACATGGCCATTAATTTTTCTATTCAATCATAAACAAAAAAAAACTCAAATCAATTTCAATCATTAACATTTCAAATAAAATTGTTTGTTTTTTCGTTCACATAATTCATATTCGTTTTTTTTTTCTTAAATCCACTTGCTATGTTTATTCATGTAATTAAAGCATATTTACAAGAATTTGATGTTCTATTAACTTAACTACCGAGTTTGAAAGCTAATTAAATAAATCTTATTCTTACAAATATTCAAATAGATAATAAACAAAGAAAATTGATGATTAATTTGTATAGTCAAATTATTATTAGAGACCTAAAAACTTGGAAGTCAATTTCTTTTACATCCATGTGTGAGTGATCTCATTTTATGAAATATTTCAATTGAGTTTGTTTCTGAAGTATCAATTAAAAGTAGAAAAATGATCTTTTGAATAGTTAAAATACATGCAATACTCACTGATAATTTATTTTTGTTCCACTCTAATGCAAGTATTTTGGAAAGCTTTAGTTATTCATTTATAATTAGTAAAATATATAGATTATACTACACAAATGGTTCTCAATAAGATCTTCTCGATAGTTAAACCATATAGCTTTCAAAGTAGAAACTTAATTAACGCCGTTTAATAATACAGAAAATAAAAATTTCACTAATAATCATCTTAAAATATCTTCTATTATAATTATATAAACCATATTTTCAGAAAATATATTGATAACTTTGATACAATTGTTATAACTCTCCATGTTTTTCCCCTTTTATACAATCTTACTATGAACAAACATACAATTCGTTAGTATCATGAGAGTTGAACCTTCCTCAAGGAACTACTGTGCAAAGAAAAAAATAGACATTATGTGAGCTTATTGATATGTTACAAAGAAACACAAATAGTTATTACTATTTCACTACTATAAACTACCAAATCAGTTAGCTTTCGATAAACTAGCAATTTGGCCCAAATAGATCTTGTTACTCAGTCTGTTTTACCGTTTCATTATCTCTGAATGTCAATTATAAAATCTCCTACAGACAAGCATCATTGTAAGACTTGATTTCTATCGGATTGGTCTGTATTTGTTTTATTCAATCGATCATACAACTATATATATAAGGTCCAGAAACTAAAATGGGAGATAAATGTACGAAAATGTTGAGAGAGAACAATATGAAGTGAAATATTGAGAGACTAAAACAATGCAAATTGGTAGAAAGCGATAAGATTATAAATGTAGGGAAAGTATAATACAAAGGAGAAGGAGAGAAATAGATAGTACAAAAGAGGGACGGGAGTCTAGGCGATAACGTTCTCGATTAGAATAGTTTCCACTTCCACAATTGTCCTACTTTCTACTGTTTTCTGGCAGAAAGTGAAACAAAGTAGACAGAAAATGTTGTTCCGAGGTCAGACATCAGAGCAGAGGGTTGCAAATGGCGTGGTGGCAGATCATCTCTTGTACGAAGAGCCAAGTCATGGTACGCTTCATGCGTACCTCTGAACTTTCTACCGAATTTTCAGCTCCCTCTTCTAAAAAATATTGACAACCCTGATAAGGTATAATAGAAGATGAGGAACCACACAGATACAGAACAAAAAACAAAAGGACAGCTACGCGTAATAAATCCAAAAGGAATCTATGCACTTTTAACCACTATCAAATTGCACAGAGAGAAAAAAATGAATATGACACGAATAGAAATGATGGTATGATCTTGGCGAAAGTAAAATTAATAACAATCATAGTTTTTGTGGCGATCCTCTTTATCAATGTGCATATAAAATTCATTCTACGTTGCATAAAAAAGCTCATCTATTCGTGAAACTATCAAAGATATTTGAGTGGAACAGCATAAAAATTTGAATGACTGAGAATTTACAAGCTGGCTTTGTGAAGTTAAAAAAATCTATTGCACATAAACAATTATCACTTTTAATTTAATAACAAGAGCCACTGTCGAAACAGTGAGAGCTGTTCAACGTATGATATATATGATTAGTTTTTAGGCCATTGATTTACATATTTTATTATGCCTTGAATTGAAAAATCGGCAGACTCAACTATGATACGATTCGCTCTTTTCTGGTTGTACTTTATTTAGTAAAATTTCATTGTAGTCGAAGCTTGAAAAGTTGTTTTTCTAAACTTTATATTATTTCTATTTTGGAAGATATAAGATAAACAGCATGAATGAACTTGATAAAAGAAAATCTTTAAGAAGGGAAAAGTTTCAAGAAAATCTTTACAATTTCGGTTTTTTAGAAACTCGATTTGTATACTAGAACAGATCATTAACATCATATGTATGTTATAGTGATCGAAAGATCGTATTATAGTTCGCATGTACTTAAAGAATGTGTAATCTACTTTCTCATTTCTCCTGGCAACAATGAAGAAAAAGGAGGTCTTTTCAGAGAGAAATACAAAATACAATTAAAGCATAAATTAACTTATGCTTTACTTATTATGGTCACGTAGCGTCCTCGGAACAGCTGTGACTCGAACTCGTATCTTTATGCATAGTTAACTCTATGCTTGTTTTCTGTTTATTTATTTTTTTGAAATTGCTGGAGATGAAGTACACATTTAATCGTACATGCTCGAAAATACAGAAACGAGTGAAAAAAAACTAGCCAACGCAACCATTAACTATGGAGCTAACACATGTAACTCATATTTTTATAATAGACAAAAATGCATAGGTAATTTAGTGTATTTTTTATGTAATTGAACATAATTTAAAGATAGGAATATAACAACTGTTTTGAATGAGCGCCTATCTACAGCGGCTTGAAGAGATACTTAATCTAACTATGACGTAGTAGCCGTATATGGAGTGAGAGTATCTGTGAGGGTCGAGATCATAAAATTTCGATATAAATTTACCTTCAAATTTCTATGGGTGAGTTACACGAAAGATCTTACAGATTCGAACGTATAGAAAAAAAATAATTCGTAAAAAACTAGTAGAGTTCAGATATTTTCTTTTATTCTGCCCAACAGAACCTTAAATACGTACAAAAACCAAATAAGTTGCACTGTTTAGGTGAATTGAGCATATTTGTATGTACATATTTTAAAATATACTGACCTGTTTTTCTATGAATATAATCTCGGAGATAACGAAGAAATTTTTCTCATCTTCAGATTTCAAAAACGAACAGTTCAATAAAAAATCATAATTCTGTTATGTCAGAAAGAATAGATGAAATATTGAGAAGTTTTTTTTCTAATTTTCAATATATAATAATGTTAGACTTAAGATTTATTTTATCTTATTAAAAATTGTACTTATTGAAATAATTTTTTCTTGAACATATTCCTACACTTATCCAATATTCAAGTAAAATATATTGAAACAATGTTTTTCTTCAAATTGAAATAATTCTTAACAATAGTTAGTTCTCTTTTTCTCTTGTCAATTATGATTAGTATTGATAAAAATCTATTTCTCAGCAGTAAGGTAATAATGGACAACTACCGAGCAAATCCTCAACTAGCTAGATAAACCATTATGATAATATCGCATAAAAAACCTTCAATGATGATCGACTTTTTTCTTGTTCAAATATACCTATGATAAAGATGTCTATTATCTAACGAGTTACAGAGCCAAATTTTTATTTGTTGAAGCTCGAAAACAGGGAAAACTTCGGATGCGAATTCGACCAAGTTTGGAAGGATTCAAAGCTACTTACTAGTGCCACGAAGGTATCAGTCATCATCGTAAATATTTCGCATAATTATCTACTAAATAGACGTCTGATAATTAGTGTCTTATACAAGTTAGTTTTTGTGCACCAGCCAACGAATTCTAACTCATAAGTAAAATATTTCGTTTTGGAAATAATCGAATCATTGCTCCCGACCTTCATGTGGAAAAACAAATGCTACTGGTAATAGGTGGTTCAATTTCTATATGGAACAGACTTTTTCTTCTAGTAGATAAAATAAGATTTTTTTTTGAATAGATCTATGAGGTAAATTATTGATTACTTTTGTTAGAAATGAATAAATGTTCTTGTGAGTCTTCAGATAAATTGAAAGCATCTCTATCCAATATTAATGTAAGGTGGTTTAATTGATGTTGAATAAGCATAGATAATGTTTGAATTAATGTTTGAGATAATGAACATTCAGTAATATAAAGTGACCTAAGATTAGGAAAAGAAATCCTTTGTTTATTAGTATTATAGAAAAAAAAGATATTAATAAGATCACAAGAACTTGAATTAATTCCACCAAAATGAATATATTTAATTGATGAGGAAAGCGATAATGAATTGCATATTAGTGGTAATAATATTAAGGAAAATGTTCGATACGATAAACCCGGTTTATTAAAAATAATTCCATTTTTACTCATTGAAAATATTGAACGAGCAAGAGAATTAATGCGTTCATTTAATGACCATAATGATATTAACATGTCATCCCATGATAAATAAGAAAATATATTTAATAATATTTCATTTGGAAATTTTTCTAATTTACTTATCATTTTATCTACAAATAAAAAATTATAATTTCTTTAATTTAATTTATTTGAAATTTATTCATTTTATTTGGCATTCATTTATTTTATTAAAAGACAAGCAATGAAAAGAAAAAGATTGTAAAATTAGATATATTGGCAAAGAAGCAAAAATATTAAGGATTTCATTAAATATTCTACTTATTATCGAACTATTTCTTAGTTAAAATATCAAAATGAATATAGTTAGCTTGGACTTAAATTTAACAAAACCAGTTTTGCTTTTAGAATTATTTTGAAAGTAAAAAAGAACAAAATTGATATGAAAGGTAATATTATTTAGCTAAGTAATGAACTTTTTCTCGTTCAAATACTTTGTATAAAAAGAAAACGAAGGGAAACGCATATTTTTATATTTCTAATATGAAAAGAAGAAATAAATGTCAATCGTATCATAAAATGTTCAATATTAAAATGAATGCATATCGGTTCACAGAAGAGAACCATATATGTGATAGCACATACGCTGGTACCATAAAAAGCATGGTGAGCAATAGTGTTTCCAATAGCAAGTATACGACCTTTGTCTGTACACTTTGCGAAACAAAGAAAATCCTTTGTTTGTACACTCTGAATCATCATTCAATTGGGGTGTGGGTGTGGGTATGTTGTAAAGGACTGCTACATTACATTAATACCCATAGACCCGTATGTGCAGCCTCTCAGCGATGCTTGCTCTGCTTCGCCGTCATCCAGACAAATTTTGGGAAGGTAGGAAGGAAACCTTACCATTGGGCACCATCCGCGAGCGTCTACGCATTATTTTGAAACAGTGATGTGGTCGAAGAGAATGAAACCATTCTCAATGTAGCATAGGCAACATCTGTGGGTGTGGGTGTGGGTGTGGGGTGTGGGTGTTGTTCATTACTTGATGATTAGCTGCACCGGCACACCCACACCCACACCCGCACCGACTAACACACCCGCACCCACTAACACATCCGCACCCACTAACACACCCACACCCCACACACCCTTTATTGAAAATTTTTGGAACCCTTTGAAAATATCTGAATATTTTAAAAATTTTTGATCATTTTTAAAGGGTTTCTAAGAATTTTTCGAAGATTCTTCTAAAATTTTTGAAAAATATGGAGTCAAAAAAACAAAATTTCTAAAAATAAAGGAATGAGCCCCCGCTCGCGATAAGTTTGTTT